AGCAGGTGATTTCATAGACTGCAGGACGACTCCGACACCAAGAAAGTAAGAGATGGTTCTTTACAGAATCTGTTCCAAAGCCTGCTCTGATGTTCAGTAGATGCATTTATAAAATGAAGAGCTGTGTCCACAGCTGGATGAAATAGTGACTTGGCAGTGATCTAAATTATTATTTTGAATGTGGCTTGTTTTATATAACTATTTTCAATGAGCGGCTTTTAAACAGGTCAGTAACATCGAAACAAAAAAATGTCCGTGTTATTTTACAAGCTATCTGCTGTATAACAATAATGGAAGGAAAACTCATCCTACGTTATATGTAGTCGTGTATTAAAAAGATCGTGAACTTTTAAAGGGTCTTTAACTAAACAGCATGTCTGGAGACCATTCTAAGTCCCCATAGACATTAGTAAGACAAGATTTATTAGGGAGACTGAGACCCCTTAGTTCCATTAAGAAACCGCAACTAAGTTTGCAGTCTGCGTGTTTTTCCCTTCCGCTACATTGTCTTTAGTGGTTTCACATAGGAAGAACCGGACTAATTCCTTGATTAACTGATAGGCATTTCTGTGGGCCATGTGTACACGTACAGTATAGTGCGTCAATTAGCTTCCTAAAAGCATGCAATTCTTTAATAAAACCCTAAGGGACAGAACTGTCAGCCCTAACTAAAAAGGTATTCGTGCAGGTTCTGTACTTTGGAACTACTGTACGTGTAAACTACTGGAAGTAAAAAGTGTGAATCTACTGTTTTTCCTGTTCTAATTTATTTTGTGGATTTGTTTCGTCTCCAAAATATATAGAGATGTTTTAATTTTATTTTAACTACAGACCACCTAAGCTGGAGATCCAGCCTTGTTTTGCTCGTGCAAGTCTGTTTTACGACGCGTGACGATGGTTTCAGTGATCACATTTACCTTTTTTATGTGGATGTTAGTGTAAATCTGAATGTGAGATGTTGTATGATTCAATACGTCAGGATGGTTATATTTGACAACAGATAAGATGAATTTCAGAGGGAATTTATCTGAAAAAAAAAAAGATTTTCTCGGTTCCAGTGACAAGAAAGCTTCAAACGCCTCTCTGGAGAATACGCACCTGCACTCTTCAGCTCCTTCAAATAGTCTCTTAGAGAGATTTTCTTCTCTGAATAGCTCTGTAAAAAGTCAGTTTTGTAACATTTTACTGTCCCTGGAGGATATTTTTGTTCTTCACTGGAGGATATCTGAAACGCCTTTTATTGGGTTAAAAGGATGGAAAGCCGTATAAACGCTGAACCACAAATAGCATAATTCTATTGATTATTCAGTTCGATCGATCAAAGTAGATAAAATAGAAAACTTATTGCACGAATCAATACTGCTTATGTCATGATCACAGTACACGGCTGTTGACTGGGTCTATTCTTTACTTTCTAGGACAATTTAGCAAGGTTGCATTTAAAACAGTCTGTTTCCATAAAGATGACCTATAAAAAAACCTTAGTTATAACCTATTTTGAAGCGTTTCATCTTGTGCTGCCATGCGTTACACAAAGGTACAGTTTTTTTTTTAAACTGGGCACTACCACGAGTAATCTGTTGCATTTCCTTTCTATAGGTGATGTTAAATAGAAGAACAACATCCTGGTGATGCGAAATGTCGTGCGTTGCGTCTCTAATGACACCATATGCACGAAGCTTTTAAAAAAAAAGCTACAGCCTGTAGCGGCGAGCAACAGATCATACAGATCATAGAAAGCAATTATCCATTCTCCAAGAAAAAGCTTCGTCTCCGTGTCAATCATTCCATGCAAATGTATTAGGAGGGAAGATCTTTTTTTTTCAATTCCCGAAACAGCGACTGTAAAGCGCCTAACATGTTTAATACCTTGGGGGCTCTGTTGTAACAGGACCGAAAGCCATCTCCCCTCCTGCTCCTGCACAGAGTCAGTTCTTCCTGATGCGTCTTACTCCAGTGTAGCTCTGGGAACTACAGCTGAGAGTGCTGGGCGCTCCTGCCCTTTAAGAACAGTTGCAAGGGATAGGGTGGGATTGTAATCCATCCAGTGGTATCTTAATTCACAGAAAGGGAGACTCGCCACCGGGCTGTCTCGGGTTTTGGAAGAAAAGCGTCGTCGATGCAGATTTCCAGCCTTTAAATCCCGCCATGGATGAAATGCTCAATCGGGAGTCGAATTTGCTGGGAGAATAAGTTCTTATACAGTACATAGCCTATACATCTCATTTCATGAGAGTGCATGGTGATTCTACCTTTTGGCGTGCAGTAGTAGACAAGCCGTTTGGTCACGCCGATGGAAATTTGGTTTCATGTGTGCTTTGCAAAGGATTGGGATTTTATGATTTATATTGTGAAGGCGGAGACATAAGGCAGTTTCAGAACACATGCAGCACGCCGAGTTAAGGGAACAATTTTCCTGAAATTTCGGAACTGGAGGTCTAGGTGTTTTTGGATTATTTCCTTAGAAATGATTCTGGTTCCAGTTCTTTGGTTTTTATCAGAGACTTTCGCTGCGCCGTCACTTACAGCTGAGCAGATTAACATGGGGGTGGTAAGTACTTCAGAAACCGAGCATCTTTTCCGTTTGGTTTTTATCCATATTTGCCTCGACGGTGCACCAGATGAGCTGAATTTCTTTTACAAGAAGAGTTGTTTTCGGGACATGATGTGTAACAATAAAAGTTCTTTATCATCTGCTTTGTCCTCTCTTGTATTTATAATTCAGTCTCTCAAATCGAGGAGTGAAAAAAACAAGTGAGATTTTTAATACCACACTCTTAACATATTGTACAAAGTAATTATCCTTTTCTTCACAACTGCGTTTTTGCTACTTTATGTGCGAATACTATCCAGGTTGTGTGAATGTTTTTGTAAAGCTGTGTGTAATGTCTGTTCAAATGATAACTAGAGTACGTGAAATTAATTTTCATTGAATTTCACAAAGTATTGTTCCACAAAGAAAAACCAGCTGGAATCAGATAACTATATTTTTTAATATAGTAAATCGTTTAGATTTACAGCATATTCGAAACAGTGTTATATACTACAGTATATACTGTATACTGCAACAGTCGTGGGTAATGGAAATTGAAAATAGAATTGAATATTAATATACAATTCTGATCACATTGATATGAGCAGATAACGGATTGAATTTGTAGGCTAATTTAGATTGTGGCAGTACAGTGCAGCCGATGTTGTGGTGTATTGTGTGTTATATTGTGGTATATTGTACTGCTGTTTAATTTCACTTAGCAGAATGTTAGCTCTGACTGCGATTGAAGAATATTGTGCTCAATCCCTTACCCAGAGTTTTACAATAGCTCCGGCAAGGACTTCCCACGGACATCGTTGCCAGCTGAGGTTTCTTCCTTGCGTCGTTCCTGGGGTGCTTTGTATTTTTTTAAATGGGTTGAAGCTCATCTTTAACATCGCCCGAATTAATGCATGCAAGTGCGTAGCTTGAATGGGAGAGGGGTTTCCTTTCATTGCTAAAACACAGTTCACCACAATTAGAAATAGGTTGGGTTCGTTTGCAAAAGAGGGTGAGGGGGAAAGTTTAGAATACGCTTGGTCGGGTGTTCAGCTAGCCCATCATTCATTAACGCAATCCCTAATTGTTCTTTAAATTGGTAGGAAGCTACTTGAACGTACTGTAAAGAAGGCACATCATTCCAGACAGGCGCCGGTACTCGGAGAGGTCTGTGCTTTCTTGAACAGGAGTTACCCGCTTCCAAGTGAACAGTTGTTGAAGTAGTGGGAACCATCTCGCCAAACACATTTAACGTGAGAATAACGCACAAAATACCTACAAGACTAGAGTGGAAGGCGTCAGGGACAGCTTTTTAACGTGCTGCTTTTAAAGGGGCTTCATCGAATACGGTTTTTACTTTTTTCTTTATTGGAAGAGCAAGCCTTACCTGTCATAAATACTGTACAGTATAACGTCAGTACGACGCATGAAGATGATCAGAAATTTTCTGACCACTGCCCCACGCCACTAGAACTTTTAAATGTCTAACACGAAAATGTAAAAACCGCAGCCAGAAAAATGGATGCATTTTTATTATTGAATCTTGAAAGAGACCGATCGGATTCGAGACATCTTGCGAATTGTTTAAATGCGCTGCGCAAAGATGCAAGGAGGAGACTTTCTTTTAATGTGGGGAGTATTTTATCCTACGAATTGTTGCTCAGATTAAGAGCCTTAGCGCTCTTTCAAGATCGAAAGGCAACTCCTATAAATTATCGAGCAGCGCACAGTCAACAGAGCATCGGATCGCTGTAGATTGTCTTGTGGGTAATGTATGGCGCATCAGCCTGGAAAACCTGAGTTATTTCTACATGCTCTCTTAGTCAATTCATTTAAGAAAAAAAAAAGACAAAAAACATTCTGACTGCTCAGACTTTTTAGGTTTATTAAATGAAGTAATCACAGATTACGTAAGGGGATTTAGATGGTATATAGCGTCCAACAAACAGCTTTAATTAGAAAAAAATGCACTGCAGTCTTTGGATGACCTACAGTAACTAACAGCTGGAAGTTAAAATACCTAATAAATGTGGACTGCAGTTGTAGGTATTGTTAATTTCGCAAGGAAACGGTATCAGCTGTGTATAGAAAATATATTTGGTGTTTCATTAATCTGCACAGAGCCCCCCCAATTTAAGTTTACAAATGCTTTCTCTGCTAAAAGGATGCAGCTGTTTCTGTTGCAATCTCATTGGTTGGGAAAGCTGGGTGATAATTTTGGTACCAAAGGGGATTTTATCCAGCTGTGCTCACAAGTTTAAAAACAGATAAAAGAGCAGTAGCAATTTTGGGGAAAATAACCCTTTTTAACCCTCGTTTCTTTCTTTACATTTAATAGAATATAAATATTGGTTTTAAAGCCTTGCTCTGTGACAATGGGGAAATTTCATCTGTGCTGAGGCAGTCCCTTCCTGTGACCCAATATCATTTAATATTTTACTGTTACTGATCAATAGTATATGGATTAAGTCATTTCAGATTTAATCAAAGAGCATAATATATTTAGCTAATTATTCTTCCACTTGATATAGAGCTTCATGATCTGAAGAGTGATGTAAAACAATCAACAGTACTGAGATATCTTCAGCCACTGCAATTGAGAATTCTAATGGATATTGCCTTTTTTCCCTCTTGAGATCTGGTGTGCCAAAAAGTTGTCCTAAATTTAACAGGATGGCCTGTTTCTTTCCTGGAATGTTCAAACTAATTAGCTGGTTCAGTGTCATTTTTAAGGTTATTGTCCTGGATATTTTAGTGCGTGTCAATCCCCATTCTTCACTGCCCTGTTTCCAGAGGAATGGGTTTCTCAGTCACCTGGAAGCCTGTATGTCTGTGATTCTGCTGCAGAGTTGTGAGCATATGTTTAGAAGGCAGAAGAAACAACAGCTTGTGAAATTTCATTCACAGGTGCCAGTTGAAATGCTTAGTCTAACGTATGATAGTGTTTCTCTGCTGGGAATCCAGGACGAGGTATTGTGCCACATAATAACAGGTTTTTTGCCTTATGAAGCAAAACCTATCATTGTCCTTTTTATAATCTTGCCCACTTATTTTAAGAAGGCTAAGATGCTTGAAATGATATTGAATTAGCGACAGTATCCATGTGGACATGTGTATAAAATGCATCTGTCAGTAACAGTCAGCCTGAATCCTCGGGGATCATATTGGAAATCGAGGCATTTGACTTTTAGTGTGCTTCTCCTGCACATGATCTTAACTGAAATATACAGGAAATACGTTTTAATTTTTCATGGTCCTTTCACCATAGTCCAATCTGTCCCTTGTGTAGTAGCTTTGAACCTTAGCAACACACAAAACAAACATCAGCGAACAGCTCCTTTCTTTTACTTGATGACTGGTTTTATTTAAAAAACACTTTTCCAATGGTTCCAATAGCCGTACTAATATGAAGAAAAGAAAAGCAAGAGGATATTTGCCCTGTAGCTGGGAAAGTCAGTGTCCTGTACATTATGGTAATGAAAGCATCAGCTGGGCACAGTTCTACTTTGTGATGCTAACATTTTATCATTTGTAATATTGTCTCCAATTCTTTCTTTATAATCCAATCCAGTCTCAAGAACTTTTTCTTCAGAGGGGTTTTTACTTAATGGTTCTGTCTGCCATTTGCATCTTCTGCATTCTAAATGCCTACTTTTTTCACTTGTGCTAATTCTGTTACCTCTTTTTACTCTTTAAGCACTTACTTTTAAACTTTATTATTATAACCAAACATTTGGTAACTGACTTACTCGGATGCATACTAAAAACAGATTGGAGTTAGTGTATAAAAAAATAGAATAATAGTAGTAATCTGAAACAAATATGCCTTTAATCCTGACAGGAGCTTTTTTTGCATTTGTGGCAGTTGCACATACAGTAGGGTTCATTGTAAATTTTAATACATTTTAATTGCATTGAAACTTTGACAGTGTGGTTTGGTCCCACAGATTAAAATATAACTCATTTTTGACAGTTGAAGGGGAAATTAAAGAATACCGTAACTGCAGGAAAGGCAGAAATCGGTATTGGTAGAAATAACAAGAAATGGCAGAGCAGGAAATAAAGGATCACATAAAATCAATACATATTCTCAAAACCATCAAATGAGCCATTGCATTAGTTTAGTACCCTGAAAAGAAGAACATTAGAAGACAAGAAAACAAATAAGTTTGCTTAGTAAAGATTTTGGAAATTATTAGATTTAAGTGTCTGTTTATTGGATGGATCTGTAAAACAGAGAAATTAAACCTGTTTTTTAGTTGTTCTCTTGTTTATTTACGTATTTAATTTATGTAAAAAAACATGTTTTGACGTGCCAGACCAATGACTGAGAGTATTTTAAAAATTCTGACACAGTGCTCTAGTTTACCACCTTGAGATCTTTGATTCTTTTCTTTATTTCATTCAACCTACAAAACAGTACAATAATGGCTATGAATAATGTTAGTACTTTCATATCAAGACAGAATCATGATGAGTGTTGATTGTGATGCTGTCAGGGAAAAAAACTCTCTTCACTTACTGTGAAGAGAGTGATATATAGAAATATTCTCCTGTTCCTTCTTTGTTAATCTGTGTTGTGGTTTGTTTTAACTTCCACAGTTTACAAAATGGAGTGATTCTGGATTAAGCTGATTTAGTTGAGAGGTGGAATTTTGATTCTTTCTAAGAATAGTGTTCATTCACAAATTTTAGCTCAATGTCCTGCATTGTTTCAAATGGCAAAAGAGTGTCTCAGGGATTACATCATGCAGAAAAAAGAATTTCAGTACTATATAATATGGCATTTCGGATTCATTTCCCTATGACTTAAATTACAGTGAATTTGACATTTCCTTTTTATAGAGGCAATTTGTGGTTTGAATGACTTCAACGTAAACATCGAATAGGCATTTATGAATACTTCAGGTGTTCAGGTGGATTCATATAAATGATGAACATCTTGAAGCTTATAAACATCTCAGATAGAATCAGTGAAATGTTATTCCCCAGAAATTAGTATTTCTACAATTATTTGG